GAAGGATGGCAGTCTTGGCTCGCAGGGGGCATTTCCCCCCTCTCTCGAGGTGTGTGGGCAGAGAAGCAGCAGAGCGAAACAACAGAGCGTACAGTGTGTCAACAGCGAAAGCAGAGAGAAGCAAGGTGAAAGGCAAACTTCAAAAGTACCAGCCAGCTCTCTTGTCCTTTGTGGGAGGCTACTGAGGCCGAAAAGAGAGAGGTGGCAGACAGGAATTACGGAACAGAGCAACCTCAGAGGCTGAGGATGGTCACGCAGCCCATCCTCTGGAAAAAAAATAAAAGAAAAAAGCAACCCCTAAAGACCCACAAAACTGCTGGAATCACATGGTCAGTGAAGCCTAAATCCCGGACACCTACGTTGAGAGGAGGGGAGTGACAAACCTGGGGGTGTCTGCCCTCCTCCGCATTCTCAGTGAATCAGAGCCCTGCAGATAAAACCCTTCAGGCTTCACCAGGGGAGAAGGTGGCTTCACATGTTCCCAGCAGGCACCGTCCAGCTCTGTGGGTAACGTTTTGGAGACCTTTGGGAGGAAGCAGCCCCAGGTGCCAGTTTCCGGCAGGCGGGAGCAAAGCGCGGTTGCTCTGTCCCCTGGTTTCTCGGAGAACGGCAGGGGCAGCACAGCAGCATCGATCTTCATTTATGTCAGGGTGACCTCCCGCAGCTCGTCATGCACCCGGGGCGCTGTGTCTCAGGAGCTAATCCTAGCGCTGGAGATTTACTACGACCGTTAGGTTTGCTTAATTGTTTTCTTCTTCTTCTTCTGAATAGACTGAAGATAGAATTTTGAAAGCAAGGGATCTCCCACCCTGTAGTTTGGAGGCCGAGAGGAATCGGGGACCGTTTGGCTTAGGTGTGTGAGGAAGGGAGAGGCCTGGGTGGTTGATTTTGACAAAACCATTCCCAGCTGGGAGGTGCCCAGCAGATCTTTCCTTCCTGGCAGCTGCTGCGTGCCTGACATGCAGCGAGCTCACGGCTCTCAGAGCCTCGGGGGCAGGCAGGTCCTGCACTCCTCGCCTGGCAGGGACGTTAGGGATTGAAAGGATGAAGGCACATAAATCCCAGCACTTGCTGCCGTGGCTGTAGCTGGCTTTGCTACCCGTACTGCACCCGCTCTAGGAGGTCAAAACCATTTCTTGCCCTGGGATTCAGCCTGGTTCCCCCTCCATGCTCCCAGAAATGCTGCCACGCTCCAACTAGGCCAGGAAGGAAGGGAAACTGAGGCACAGAGACGGAACCTGGAGTGTCTCTCATCACCTAAGACAAATCCAGGTCCCTAAAGTCGGGTACGTTAGACCCGGAGCCATTAGATGAGATAGCCCTGCACCCCGATGGCAGCTGCTGCTGCTGCTTGGGCTGTAGGTGCGCTGCAGCCGCCACCCGGTCATCTGG